TGACTAATTCAAACGAACAAGCATTGAGGAAACTATTGAAACCGGTAATTATTCCAAGGTATGTGCTATAATTTAGGTAACAGTATATTGTAAATTAAAGAGCTATATAATTATTAATGCTTTTTAGAGCATATAGGAAAACAATTCTGGTACCACCTGGGTCAGGGACGATGATTTTCTGGGGTGGTTAAAGACAAATTCTGTGATTTAATGTGATAAACTTTACAATTTTGTAATACCATGTTGTCGTTTCTTGCGATTAAATTTTTGGTTTTTTTTTTCAAAGCATAATTCCGACAAATCTACGTTGATATACTGTCTACCTTTCCGGGATGACCTGAATGCTGTGATATTCTGCGCTACTTTTTAGAATTCTGTGATATTCTGCGCTACTTTTTTTAAAATTCTGTGATATTTCTGTAGTTGGCAGAAATTCTGCGATTTTTTGTGAATCGAGTGACTCGGGTTGAGTTGCAATCTGAGTGAAAGCGGGTAAGTCAACCTGTGGTTATTTACGAAATTGATTCAGATATGGCGAAAAAACAAAGAATGAAGAGGCGAAAAGACTGCTAAAACAAGAAGAGAGGAAAAAAGAGTCAAGTTTAATGGTTGCCAAAGTAATTTAGAAAGAATTACCAAAAACTGGTAAAATTTTTTTTAATACATAGTTTTTTTATTTTTATATGAAGTTTATAGTTGGTATTAATGAAATTGATGATATTGGCGATTTGGATAAAAAGAACGATGAATTAAGAGTAATGTTATGGTAAAATCTGAAATTTTTTCAAAGACTTGCTTTGTTTGCAAGCTACCTTTGTGCAAAATGTTTAAAACATTATTATTCTAAATCTTTAAATAATAAATTATATTTATAAAAATACATTAAGTTAAAAATATGTATACATGAGTGTACTATGTAAATTGTAATCTAATGAACTTGAGAGATCCTACCCGAAACTAATACCTAGTAAATCCATTAAACGATCTGAATTATGAAAAGCTAGAGGCGCAGTTGAATAACCTTAATGACTTAAGAAATCCCTTTTCACTATCAAATCAAGATAAAAACTTTGAATAAGTACACTTCAGAAGGATTTATTACACTATTTCAGGTATCGAAAAACTAGTAATTTGATTGGTTCACTTGATGAGTTGGCATTTAGAATGTTCTATTGGTAAAAATTACCAATAGAACAATAGA